TTGGTTATCTTGCATCGTGGTCACCACCTGTCGCATGACCGAGCGTTCGTGGCTTGAGCAACTTGAATGTAGCCACTTCAGCGATTACTTAGAAAACGCTACACCACCGTTGCCCCTGTCGCAATGGAAGCCACGCCACTGGTGTCCGTTGTGGCATCATCCATTTCCAAATCGTTTCCACCGTGCGACCATGTCTCGTCGCGAGCCCCGTCCGCGCGGCGATCTCAACCACGTTCTACACCGTGCGTATGACGCACTTCTTCCACACCAACGTGGTGACCCTACTCGCTTAGAGGTAAGTCTCACCATCCTGGCTTCCAATCTTCGTCCAGCTGCTTATCACCTCTCTATCTTAGTCAGGAATCTCGTCCGGTCGACACCGATCGTTCGCCTGGACAGCCTCCTTCAGCCTCCTTCAGCCACCGTCAGGAACTTCTCTTCCCATGGGTCGTGAACCAAACGCCAACGCCGGCAGCGCCGACCGCTGCGGCATCTTCCGCTACGCTTCAGACTGGGACTCAATCTTCGACCCTAGTTCCTGTTGCTTCTCCAGATCCTGCCGATCTTTTGGAGGAGCTGACCGTGGATTCGCTGCGTGATCTTCTTGCTGAATCCGCTGACGCAACGGTAGATTCCGTAAGGACTGCTCTCTTGCCATAATTGACGCTGATGGCACGGCACCAAGTCCAGCTCAGCATCACGCCCCCACTTCAGGGTGACGTTCGCACCCAGCGACGTTTGAATGACGCGCTCGGCTTCGACCAGGTGCTAGCGGCGGTTCAACCTCTCTCCGACACGTTGCCGGATCTTCCTCACGTAGTCGGTGAGCCCACCGCTCAACTGAAGATCTCCCGAGAGGAAGCTGCTGCTGCTAAGCGTCTACTGGTTCCTGTCCAGCTTCGAATTGAATCTCTGGAGACTCTTCTCAACAAATCGACGGCTGAGGTGAACGGGCATCAAGCGGAGATCAAACGCCTCAAGTCAGCGAACGTTCGCATTGGCTCTCTGTTCGAAAAGAGTAAGGAGTCGATGGACGTTCAGACAGAGAACCTTCGGCTGGCCATGAATTACGCCGAGCAGAAGCAAGACATCATCGACGCCTTGGACAAGCAGATTGAGAAGGAACGCGAGGTCTTCAGGACGACGGT